TTAAAGTTCAAAAAATGCTAATAGCCTAAAATAGTGTGCATGGACACATAGGATAACACTATTTAGCTTCAAAGAACAGAAAACAAAATGCTGGTAACAGCATTTAAGAACCTAAAAAAACGCTAGTATTCAAGGAGCCGCAGAGGCAAAAAAAAACCCCCCTTCTGTTTTGTATTTTTGAGAGTGGTTGTCTGGCAGAAAAAAACGCTAAACCCTCATAATTTTTTTTTTTTTTTTTTTTTGTTTAGCTAGTGTGCATGGATCCTTAATCTACCAACAAGTTTTTATATTGCCAGTGAAAACCAATGCAAACCCAAGAATACAAATTTATTTACCAAATTCCTGGTAGGATTACCTGCACAGGTTAAGCAGGCACATCTTATTTCTCAGGAGAACCCCACTCACATGCAGGCATACTTCTGTTTTGTAAAGAATTTTGTCTATATATTCGAGTAAGTCCAGCTCCTGTACTGTCTTTTTTGGCTGTAAGTGTTGCAGACCTACCAGGTCTCAGTGCTATGGACTTGGGTGCTATGTTGTATCTTTGGCTCCCTCTTCTCCTTACCATTCACAAAATGAGGCCTGAGGCTGTGTGTGTTATAATCGTGCCCGGAGTTGGGTTTTAATCCTTTCACTGCCACTGTTATACTTAGTGGCAACAAAACCTATGTGCACCCCTGGGAAATAACTGGTTTTCTGCAGTAATGTGCCATGAAATGTGATCTGATCGTCATCTAAGTCAGTAGCTGAACTCAATCCCTGGAATTCACAAAAACTGTCAGACAGATTTTATAAAATTGAGCTCTAAAAGTGCTGACGAATGCGCCAAATTCATGTACTTGTTTGGAGCTTGAATTTTGTGCAAGCTGTACCACTTTTGGAATGCAAGCAAGACACTCTCAAAATCTGTCTGCTCCAAATTTTCTGTACGACAAGGTCTTTATATAGTCCACGATTGTAAGATACGAACTGGCTTTTTTTTTTTTATTTTGAATTTGGCACATTCATTGCACCACAATGTAAAAGTGGCGTATGTTAGAACTATCTGAATTTTGTGCACAAGTCGCTGTCAGAACCAAAAGTGTTGCAAATGCTTTACTAATTTGTCGTAATACATTAACAATAGAGAATAACACCAGAAAAGTGGCGCAGAAGCTTTGAACCCCCCCCCCCATTGCTTAAGTTGATAACACAAACAATTCTAATTGTTTGTCCATAAACTGATTACTTTAGTGAAAGCTAATTGGAGTCAGTAGTTTGCACACCTGACGTCCAGGTGTGGTTTAGAGCTGCTTTGATCAAACATCGTAAGATTGCTGTTCATGAGAAGCATCAGCTGATGTAAACAATGCCTCACAATACGGAACTTTGAAAACTTTTCAAAAGTATTTGATGGAAAGGCATAAAAATCTCAAAGTGCTTAAGCATCCATCAGTCAACCGACAAATTGTAAATGAAGACAGTTTAGTACTGTGGCTACTCTTCCTAGAAGTGGACTTTTTGGAGTTGCCCAGACCTTAACCCCATAGAGATGCTGTGCAATGACCACCAGACATCCCTACAAATGTGTCTGAGCTGAAGCAGTTTTGTAAAGAGGATTGGTCAAAGGTTCCTTCTTTAAAATTGTGCAAGGCCTATGCAGAGCTACAAAGCGCTTGTTTGAAGTCACATTATTGCTGCCAAAGGAGGTTCAGCCAGCTATTAACTCCACGGGTTCACTTACTTTTTCCTTCAGCACTGTGAATATTTCATGGGTGCAATAACGACACAAGAAATTAGATTTCTTGGTGTGTTGTCAGCCTAAGCACTTTGTGTTTGTTTTGTCAGATCACATCTTATGGCAAATTACTGCAGAAAACTCATTAATTCCAAGGGGTTCACATTGCTTGCCAGTGTGTTGGCAGCAGCGGGAGGTTTTGCGCACACGCTGCCAGGATTGTGTGTAAATTTCACATGTTGACTGCCAGCGTTAAGATGAAAATGAGCCCGCAGCTGTACTGCTGCCTAATTGCTTCTGCAGACCTGTAGAACAGGTCCTTCCCTTCCTCGTAGCACATTTTCCTGGGCTTCACTCCCCTTCCTACCCAAAAAAATGAATTCCACATCCCCAGTGTACACACACATACAAAGATAAACAAATGTGTCCAGGCATCTATGTGAGAGAAATGATAGGGCCATCATTTATGGTTAATTCGAAACTGATAACCTGTAAGTACTTTGAAATGCCTTGCCTATAGAACATGTGGTGTACTGGCGTTTATCACTGTTTGACATGTTGGGTGTCTAGTCACTCGGCCCATCCTCCTGGCCCTTTAAGGGGTTTCTGACACGGGGGGGGGGGGGGGGGGTTTTAGGGTCAGAGAGATTGGGACCTTTCCGTGGGACGCCGACGTGCTGGGAGCACGTGGGGCGCGCGTAGCACGTTTGTTTACAAATGGTACACAAATATGCGGCCACTCAGCATCAAGGACCAGCTGTGGAAAGGACGCATATTTGCATACTGTCGGTGTGAAGAGATTAAGGCTGTCAGCAGATCGGCATCTACAAATTCAACACTGTGCCTAAAATGGAGAGCATCTGAGCATGTGCAGAGCAGGGTGAGACATTGTATTACTGGATTTTTAATAGAATGGGCACTTATATTTTATGTTTTACAAAGCTATACCTGCAAAAGGGACCGGCCTGAAGTGATCTAGCAGGGCATCATTTTCTGAAGTTCCACTTAATATCATGTGACATTGGAATGAAAGTATTTGTCTCTTGTGATGCACTTGCAGAGATCTTCAGTGTAGTCATTGTACTACACACATATATATTTTACCTTTTTCAGTCTCTTCTGTCTAGTTGGACATTGTTTGATTCTACATTCTGCAGCTTGTGTGAGCTCTGAATAGGCAGATCAGTAATGCCTACTATGGATTTCAAATATTGTAACTTTTGTGGATGGTGGTGGTGGTAGGGAGGCTTTGTAGTGAAACCATATCACTCATCTGATGTGTTTTGCTACAAGTATCCTGTTGCTTATAATCCAAAAAACTGTAATTCTAAGAATGTTTTGTTTCTTGACATCTGGAGGAGTAATAGTGACTGGTGAAAGTATGCGAAAGCAGGTTTATAAATTGTGCTGTTGCAGGAGGTGTTGGTTTTTGCAGAGTATTTTTTTCTTTTGTTCTTTATTTGGTTTGATACAATTTGCAGTCAACCTTTTATCTGGTTTTTTTTTTGCTGGTTCATAAGGAAGCAGAATATGTTTCGGTCTCGCTCTGCAATTTTTCTTGATGTGACTGTAAGATTTCCTTCATTGCTTCACGTACTTGGTTGTTGTGCAGTGTACTTAAATAAGTTTGATGTCTGTTGCAGTTGTTTGGCTTGTACATATCCTACATTTGTTTTTGTTTTTTTTTCCCCCAAAAAAAATTTTTATTTACAAGGTACAGTGCTGTAAATGCACTGCTGATCTTGCAGTAGAAGCCTGTAAGTGGATATTTAGCAAATTTGTTTTTTTATGTATGATGTGGTTTATTGGTTGTTTTGGAATTATGCAGTTATACTCAGCATTGACTGATGTTTCTGCAGGGAACTTTAAAGTAGAACTATAGGCAAAACCTTTTTTTTTTTTTTTTTCCTTTTCCTTTTGAATAGAGCACGGAAGGGTCATAAACCCAGTCAGATTTTTTTTTCGCCATCTATGTCCCATTGTGGAGATTTCCCTCCAGTTCCTGGCCCATAAGTAAACAGGAAGTGAGAAGAAATCCCTGAAAATGAAGGGAATTCCTTGGGGACCCCCAACTCACCAGAACTAGTGTCCCCAAGGAGGGGACACTTACTTTCAATGATGATAAACAGAACAAATAGGGTGAATCATCTTAACGGGGGGGGGGGGGGGGGCACAGACAGCAATAAAAATTGACAAGGGTTCAAATCCCTTTCCACTCTATCCAAAACTTAAAAAAAAAAAAAAAAAGTTTTGCCTTTTAGTTATACTTTACTGGATTTATTTTTTTGCTCTTTGCTCCTGAACTTGAATTGTTCTTTAACCTTTTTAATGCAAAAAAGCTCCATGTCTTGAGCTCAATGTTTATAAGCCCTATTTTATGTTTTCAATAATTTTTGTAGGAGGAAATCTTCGATGGACTGTCCAGTTACATTTTGGAGGGGATCGGCCTATTTTTCTTTTCTGTTTCAGTTGTGCAAAGTATTGACTAGTAAAATCTTTTTCCAATGAAAGAAATCTTACATGTGGCAGTAAAGATGCCAGGAGTCCATATCCACTACTGCTGGATATACATTTCTTGTTGATCTCCACAGATGTCTCCTGTATTACGTATACACTCATTGATATGTTTTGATTTTAGATTTTTGGAACTTGAACTGCAAATTGTTTTGTAGATTTTGGACTTGCTATAAACTTGATAATTTTTTTTTCATTTGGAAAAGATATGTTCTGAAGCCTTTTTTCCAGTTAGATGAACTGTATGACTATAAACACCATTAAGTGGTAACATCTGCTTAATGTGTTTGTAATATGTTCTGCTATAATATAAATCAGCTTTTAATTTAAATAATTCAGTTTGTAAGTTAAGGAGGTTTTGCTTTATGTATTTCATAATTCTAGACTATATGCTGTCTTTGGTAACATTTATTTTGTCAGTGGCCTAGATTCTCTTCCGCTGTTTTGGTGGCTCTTTCTGTTCTTTATTATAATTGTACTGTGATCTATTTTTATGTAACATGGCCAATGTATTTGTTTACATTGGATAATCACGCGGTTGTGTTTTTTTAAATTTTTTTAATACATCTTATTTACAAAGTTTCCAATATTCTTGTAGGCTACTTTTCACTTGTCACTGGCACAAGGGCAAATAGTCTTGACTGTAATTTGATCCCTAATTAGTGGTTTCTGTTCTTACTGACAAAGCCTCCTTAAAATACATATGTATGTTTCTATTGCCATGTATGTGTGTGTCTCTCTACTACATAACCAGAACTTATTTCTTCAGCCGTTTGGCTAAGGGTGGAGCCTAGCCATGATTTTACCACCAAGGGATCCACGCTTCTCTGGCGAAGATTTCTGCTGCGGATGCGGACTAGCAGAAAGAAGCGAGAAAATATCCAGCGTTTGGTTCTTTCGGATAGGTATTTATGTGTTCGGGTTTGTGTGAATGTAAATTAGAAGTTTCCAGACACCCCAATTGCACGCGCATAAAACAGTATTCGTAGTGGTTGAAAAGCATACGGTAAGCACTCCTAATGCATTGCTAGAAAACAATGGACATTAGAGCTATCATTTTGAAGTTACATGAAAAGGTGCAGATCTTATACAGACTAGCAGTAGTGAATGTAGTATTCTAAATTTTATCAAGTACATCTAATAATGGTAGAAAAAGTTGACATTAATCAGAGCAACGTGGTTTCAGAAAAATGCAACATGTTATGGTGGGTCTAGTTTTATGTCAGGGCAGTTTAGACAGGTAAGTTCAAATAAAGCACTGAAGCTTACAGTACTTGGTTCTTACCATGGTATTCATGTTGCAGGTATGATGGGCGTGGTCATTTGCATGACCTATCTGAATATGATGCAGAGCACAACTCATGGAACAGAAACTACAATATATCTGAAGAAGAGGCTCGTATAGAAGCTTTGTGTGATGAAGAGAGGTATTTAGCGTTGCATACGGACTTGCTTGAAGAGGAAGCAAGGCAAGGTACATCAACTATTTCTGATCAAAACAGAAGTCTTAAACAGTACCCTTGTGTGGAGTGAAAATACATAACAAAGATGCTTAAAGCTTTCTTTATTTTATACTCACTTTTTCTGATATCTGTTTGACAGTACCCATTGGAGTGGAAAACAGCTGTCTGAATGTGGACCACAGGATAGTTTTATTTGCCCAGCTTTTCTGTTCTCTGGCGTCTACTCTTTATTATAGCTAGTGTAGACACATTTTCAGAAAACTGAACTTTGTCTTGCACTTGTCCTTTTTGTAAATGCAAAACAATTGTATTTGAAAAAATGAGTGTGTTACTGCAGAAATTTGATTTAAAAAAAAAAACAACTTTTCTTCAGACTATCTGATTGAAGTATATTTGTATTTCCCTTCAAGAGGAAGAATATAAGCGGCTAAGTGAAGCCCTTGCAGAAGATGGAACATATAATTCAGTGGGTTTTCAATATCAGAGTGACTACTATGATCCTTCACAACCCACAGAAGAAGAGGAGCCACAAAAAGAAGACAAAGGTAGATTTGTGTTTTTTTTTTTTTTTTAATATAACTTGTCTTTTTTTTTTTTTTTTTTAAAGAGAACATCCTTTTAAAGCTGCACTCCATACAAGTGGCTTAATACTTTAGAAACACATGAATTGGAACTTTTTTTTTATCTGGGCAAGGGTGTGTAATTGCACACCACGTTTGACCCAGAAATTCCTGCCAGACAGCACAGCCAGGTATTTGGCCTCCACTGCAGTAATGGCAGTTTGGTTAGGAAAACAGCCCTGGTCTGCTGATTTTATTATTGATGTAATAAACGGTTACAAGTCCTCATTTTAGCTCGCTATTTTTTTCTCTTGTCAGCATTTTTATCCGCATATGTACACGAAGCAAAGCCGACTACTGTTCCTGCATTGCGAATACGTAATTTTATCAATCCCTTTTTTTTTTTAAATAGACCCTTCATTTTAATCTCACCCATACTTAAGCACCCCCCCATGCAAAATCACTAGGTCTAATAAATTAAAAAAAAAAGTATTATCCAATACTTTGGCTTTCAGCCTGTTGCTTAGGTGCCAGTGAAATGGCATGGCCTTTCCACAACCTTCTAGCAAACTGTAGGACCATCTAGAGAGTGATGGACTTAATAGGTGATAAAGGGATAGATTAAGGCTGAACACAAGGCAGGTATATTAAAAAGGTTCTAGCATTTAAAGGGTTAGTTCACCTTTCTGCTCTTCTTTAAAAAAAAAAAAAAAAAAATCAGCCATGCATTCCATGACCCCCAGCGCACTGAAAGCACTGTAAACTTGCTTCTCCCCTATTGCTTATCTTTTTGTTCTGCACAGCCTGTCTGCAAAAGGCTATAGGTGGTCACCCCATGCTGCTGTTGAAGGGAGAGAGAACACAGTCAGCATGCGTGAAACTTGAATGAGCTCGAAGTGGCTGCTGGGGGTACACTTCTAATGTTCTGCCCATCCTTCCATTTAGCCATAACAGAGGAAGACTGTACACTTCAAGGTTTATTCAGGCATAGTATTGCTCTGCTGAAAAAGGGCAGCTTTTTAAAATCTGAACGGTGCTTTGCAATGTGCTGAGGGTGATGGAAAGCATGGGGGATTTTGTTTCAGAAAAAGAGCAGAAAGGTGAACAAACCCTGTAAAGTGTTACTAAAACACAGGACCCTGCAATCACTATATCCGGTCTCCCACAGTAAACAGAACATGGAAATGCAGTTATTTTAGTACATATAAACCGCCAAATACCTTTTCTCATCAGCAGCATATAGCAGTTTTGTGACTCCTATCAGTGTCTGGCCAAGCACTGGTTAAAGCTTGCAGGTAATTTTCATTTTTCTCTTCACTGTCCTAGGAAGCTGTATGACCCTTAACCCTCTGAACAGTGCTGATTGGCCGTATGTGCAGGAGCCTGACATTTCTCCTGCGATCTGCTGATTGCGGGTACAATACTTTTTTGTAGGCTCCTCCTTTGAAAAAATAAATAATAAATACATAAATGTTTTATATTTTATAATTAAACATGAGCTTGGCTTTTAACCAATACTGTGTGTAAAAAAAAAAAACAAAACTATATATAACGCATCTAGTATTTAAAACCTGAGAAGATATTTAAAAAAGGTAAATTTTTTGTAGAGTTAGAACCCAAGGCCTCATGCACACGGGCATATGAATATATGCTCAGAATATGCTTGCTTTTTTTCTTCTAGAGGTTGGCAGAATAAAGATGCTTCTAATATTGTGTATGTGTGCACGTTTATGCATGTATGCTGTTGAACATAAATACATTTTGCTGGCTTGAATAATAATTTATTCTAGCTACTGGAATACATTTATATGCATACGTGCATGTTTATATGCAAACTCACTTAACGTATGCTTCAAAGCTCTTCTCACAACACACCTTTGCCTCTAAAATCTTTTTTTTTTTTTTTTTTTTTTGGATGCTACATAAACAACTAATTGGAAGACAGTTTATTGGAAGACAATGGGTCTAACACATCTACAGTTTAAGCAATGTAAGTTAGGAAAAACCTGACATGCATCATCACAATACACACTATTCGTTTTAGGTTTTCTTTGCACAAATAGAGAACATTATAACTCCCAGAGGAGGCTATAGAAAACACTGCACAAATATACAAAAAGTCATTTCAGCTATACTCTCATTACCACTTCAAACATGATGCACTATAGAAGGCATATTTTTGAAGGTATGGGGGGGATTTAGTCCCAATAAATAAGCACACAATTTCTGTTTAATTTTGGATAGAGAAGAGTTAAAGGCTAAGTCCTGTTATCTGGCCATGTTTCATATTATACCCACATTTAGGGAATGTTCACATGAAATGGTCACAGTCCACAGCCACTCAAAGCACCCCCACCTGAATTTGGATGTGGTTCTGCCCTCAGATGCCTGTCATCATTTTTTAAATTGGGCATGACTGTACTTGGCCCTGCTCCACACAGCGCATTATCCATTCAGAGATTTGTGAATGGAGAAAGACTGCAGGTCTAATCTGCCATCGTGGCAGATACTCCTTGATCTCAGTGACACTTTGAATGATGTCACTTGTAGTCCCATTGCTTCTTCCTCTGGCCCCATAACCAACTTCATGAGGCTGGAGGAATAGGCTGCAGGAGTATGTGTATTGCAATGATTTACAGGTTCCAATTCAAGACGACATTTTTTTTTTATATCACTGTGGGCGCATTTATTAATGTATTTATTTATTCGATAGTTGGAATTGGCCTTTAAAACCCCTTTTAGGTTATGTTTGCCATTTGTGTCCCTGCTGGGGTGATCTACCTTCACTTCCTGTTCTTGAGATTCAACAGGGAATGAAAAGAGAGCTCACAAAAGTAATAGGAATTCCCACTACACAGTTGTCACTGAAATATTTACCACTCTGGATGACTTGCCCTCATCTCTTCTTCTGGGCACATCTCTAAAATGTTGTGTTTCCCATCAGTTTTTAATTGACATTGGTCACCAGGACAAGTAGGGGTGATCTCCCCAGTGTGAAGACCGCAATAAGAACTTGACAGAGGGCCTCTAAACCCCTTCCCCTGCTTTATCCATAAATGCAAAGGTTTTGCTTTGCATACACTTCAAAGTAGATCTAAAGTCAACACCTTTCTTTTAGTTTGGGTAGAGTAGGGGACAGTTAGATCTGTAAGGTTTGTTTGGCTGCCTGTGTCCCCACTGAGATTTGCCCTAATTATCTACTGAGCAAACTTTCCCAGCTGTGACCATAACTAGAACAGAGGGAATTTTTTTTTTAACAGGAACACTTTGATAACAACTGTCTAAAGCTGGCCATACATTATACAGTCTAATTGTACTTCCTTTGTACAATCCACTTCAATTACTAAAACTGTAATATGAGGACAAACAATCCATTCAATTTATCACATCAGACAGGTCCTTGCTGTACAATCGGGTTGTAGAAGAAACTTCCCATAAATGTAGAGATTTCAACTCCCTTCCTGTTTAGTCTCTGGTAGGGATTCGATCATCAATAAAAAGAAAACAAAACTCACAGGATTCTAACCTACTCTATCAGGAAAAAAAATGGTTTTGAATGACAGTGATGTTAAGCTTTACAATATGAGCTAATCTCTCTACTTTTGCCATCAATATACTGGCAGTCTCTTGACTGTAATAATTAACAAATAGCCAGAACGATTGTTTTCATCTTGGCTCATTGGTATTCATTGAGAACAATGGTAGTATTGACCCTGAGTAAATACACATTTTCCTTTGTAATAATGTTAATATTTTTTGCATGTATTTGATTTTGCAAGTTGTACAACTGTAAGCATGTTTGATAAGCTGACTGTAAGTAACGAAAGCAAGAGGAATAACAAAGTGTTTGCCAACTTTTTTTCTTATGGTTGAATTGGTCTGCTTTGCTGGTCTGAACCTCCTTTCTTCTCAATAAATAGCTTTCCAATTTGACTTTGACATTTAAGCAGAAGTATAAATGCTACCTCTCCTGTTTTTGTTCTCTTTCTGCTAAAGCAGCAGTTTCCAATGTTCTTAACCTGTAAAGTCTCATAATGGGTGACTCTGATTCTTTTATGAGCTAATTGTAAATGTCATGTTTTCAAACTGCCATACTCACTTTCTGTCCAATTAGTTGTTTAGGACAAAATAAATGTTCTTTTTAAATGACACAGAGTTGTCTAAAATGCTCTGTATGTTGAGCTTCTATAGCATTCTGTAGTTCAGCTAGATGAGTGGGTTGGCAAACACATCAGAACCCTTAGGCTGTAATGTGGGGACTTTTTAGAGTTGTCTGTTTTCTGGTTAAGCCTTTTGGCACTTGTGTGATGTTTTCTTTTATTTATTTATATAAACCACATAAAGGATGATTGTACCTCTTTAGAGAAAAGAACCCCCCCCCTGCACCTCCACAACCTGTGCATTAGTAGATCTTATATAATTGTATATTTCATATACAGAAGAAAAAGTAGGCCTAGTGTACAGCCTGTTCTTCTAGAAATGTGTTTGTTTTTTCTTTTAATTGTTTTTTTTTTTTTTACATTAAAGTTTTTTTTGGTGCTTGTACCAAGCTCATGATGGAGTGCTCAAACAAATAATGGTAATCCTCTGTATTGTGTTGATCTGTATGTCCAGTCTGGTCTATCAGCCTTAGCCTGGCAAATATCCTGAAACACATTTACATTTAACCAATTCATAAATAAGGCTACATTTTTTTTTTTTTTTTTTTTTTTTTTTTTTTTATTCCTCCTCCTTTTTTTTTTTTTTTTTTAAATTGACAAATATCTTTGATGCAGTGGTGCAGCTCATGTTACTCTGCCTAATTGAACAGCAATTCTTATAGAGGTGTTGCCATGGTCATTAGCATTAGAAAAGTATCTACTGAAGCTGACCATTCTGTTTAAGTTACTGGGTAACTAAGCATATACTAGTGTAGTGCTTTTCAGTTTCAGAACCATGGCATAGTCCCCCGTCTAACCCTGTCTCTGAAGTCTTGCCTAGTGATT